TATATATATTTGAAAGGACAGGATAGATATGCAGCTACTTGTACTAACATTGTTTAGACAAGATATCATGTCTGCATCTTGTCCTTTGAATAACTACTATAAAAACAACAATATGCAATGTATTAATTATTGTAACTGTCTTACTAACCTGTTTTGAAACTGTTTCATTGCTATTTTATCTTTTCTAATTAAAATGAATAAAAATTTAGCCCTTTCCCCAGGCTTTTCCGTTCTCCATACCATTCATCTCCAGTACTGATTTACATATTTAGAAGACAATAAAGTTAAAGCACAACTGAGAGAAAAAGAACTCCTTGACTTATGAAGGATGGTTAGGACCAGAGTATATTTCCAAAGGCAAAAGGGAGAGCATAGATATATGGCATAATGCCTTCGTTGTGTTTTAGTAATCCTATGTCAGTTTAAAAGAATAGCTGGAGACACATAGCAAGCTGAACCTTTCCAAACGGAGTCTTTACGGTTCTTTTCAGACATTCAGACAACATTCAGAACACAGCTGGAATTTTGGACCCCACAGAACTTTGGCTTGGACAGAATCAAAGAAATGTTAGTCACACTTGTCTGTATCTCACAACATACACTAAATTTGTAAATCAGGGCCGGCGAGATAGCTAGGTGGACTAAACGCTTGCTTAGGCAGGCACAGGGACCAGGGTTTGATCCCTTGCACCACATGCCATGCCGGCCCCTTCTCCGGGCACACTGAGCTGGCCACCAAGACCATAATCGCAGCATTGGAGAGGCTGAAACAGGAGGATCACTATGAGTCTGAGCTGTGTAGTGAGATCCTGTGCCAAATACATTAATAATAATAATAATAATATTCATATATATACATACATATATGTATATACAAAATAGCTAAGATAGATATACAGATACTTTCTCTTTGTTCAATGAGAAGAAAGGTATGTGCTAATAGTGTTTAGACAAGATATCATATCTGCATCTTGTGCTAGAAATAACTGCTATGAAGACAACAAAATGCAATGCATTAATTATTGTAACTGTCCTACTAACCTGTTTTGAAACTGTCTCAATGCTATTTCCTTCTCAATAAAATTAATTAAAAAATTTTTTAAATAATAATGAGAAAATAAATTGTACTTCAATGTCTAGAGTCAGTTTTAATTCAGTTTAATCTCAAACTTTTTTTTTTTTTGTCACATTGGGCATTAAATGCAGAGCCTTCTCACTGAGCTGTACCTACCCTTACACCATTTTTATTTTTACTTTGAGACAAGGTGTCCCTAAGTCACTGAGTTACTCAGGCTGGGTTTGAATTTAAACCATAGTCTAAAATATATCCACTTTAATTTGTACTTAAACACTTTCACTATGGTTGATGTTCTGGGGTTATGAGGAGGCTACCACGTTTTTGTCCTCTTCTGTTGCGCTGTACGAGGCTTTCTGGGGTAAATTTCTAAAGCAGGAAAACTTGAAAATGCAGATTTCACTTTTCTATGTGGAACTCATATGGTCTTACCTAGGTAAGAATATAAGGCTCTTGACGTCCCCCCTTCTCAGTAGAATATTAACTCATTTCTTTTTTTTTAATTTTTTAAAGAAATGTTTTATTTTTATTATTACATGTTTGTAGTACATAATAATTGCATTATTAATACAGTACCTAACACACTGCAATTCTTTTTTTTTTCTTTTTTGAGGTACTGGTGATTGAACTAAGGACCCTGTGCTTGCCAGGCAAACACTTATTCTACTGAGCTATCTCCCTGGCCCTGCAATACTTTTTTTTTTTTTTTTTTTTTTT